AGCAAGACCACGAAAGCATAACAAATCATGAACATTCATGAACCGTATGCACAACGGAAGATGCGGCCAAGACGAACTTGGTTCCTCATGCTTCCTGTGCACCAATTACATGTTTCAGACACACTTGCCTCATGTTGCACAGATACACAGAAATTTACAGAAATCCTCCAGGTTCACAATATAAACATATCTAAACATAGTGTGGCCATGACCACCACCTCACAATAAGAGCCAGCGAACACCACCACCAGGCTTCCAAGTACCAGACCTGGTCGTAGAACGTGGTAAACACCAATCGCAAGCCCCACATGGGGAGACATGAAACATGTATATGCATATTGGAACATGGGAATCAGTATGAATCAGTAGCATCGCCACTTGTGAGGCCTCTCAAGCGCTGGAGGTGCTATTGAGCGAGTTGGGCTCGGTGGCGGCCGAGGCGCAAGCCCAGTGCGGATCGAAGGCCGGAGGTGTGCGTGGTCTTGGCTGGATTTCTGACAGATCGAGGAGTTGACTACTTGTAGTAGGATGTATGTAACTGTAGTAGGTAGGATGTATTAATATTACGTAGATGTTTTGGGGCTTGTCTTAATGTTGGACAGGAGACCTTGAAAACTCGCGACCTCCAACCTTCACCCGCCAAAACGAGGCCACGGAAGAGGAGATCGCTACAGCCGCAGTGAAGCTGAATGTCTTGCACACCATGAACTTCTTGTTGCAGCAACTCTGCCCAGATCTTCTGATAGATACTGTAGTTGTGAATCATGAACATCCCTTAACCCTTGGCAATCGTATATATATATATATACACGAATTCATATTTCATATCTCATTCGCATATTCATCATTTGAGCACCGTGGTTCTTGAATGCACCAGCCTCGGACAAACTTGCATAGCAATCATAGCATTGCATAGCCAGAAAAACACTCCAACAATATGAAATGGACGGAACAAGAATGGTTCTTTCCGAGTCAAGTTCCTCCATAGATTGTTGAGTTCATCTTTCCTCAACTGCTGGGCGTTTGCAGTACGATCATGCCACCGCAAGCCCTCAGCCAAGGTACAGCCAACCAATCCGGGAGAAGGCGAGTTCCACAGTTGAGTTTTTTGCATATGCTTTGAATCGATCCTAATGGACATGAAGGTCATTCAAGTTCCTTATGGTTTGATACACTCAACACGGGTCAATCACAAGTCGATCACAAGTCGATCACATTCGGACGAATGGTGAGGTGCGCAGCGGCGAGTTGGAGATCCAGGGAGGGGTCTATGACTTGAAGTCGGGGCGCGTGGAGCTCCCTGGCATCACTTCGAGCGACTTTTCATCCCACTCTCCCAATGTCTACCATCCCGATCTTAGTCTTTTGAGCAGACACTCTTGAGTCTTGAGAATGATAGAAGGTGACAGACCATAGAAAGGTGTTCTTGCCTCTGGAAGGGGCTGAGAGAGATAGATAGTTTACAGATGTTTAATTTTGTTTCTGATTTGGCTTCGTGGTGTCCAGCAGCTCTTGATCTCTGCAGGGATTGGTCTTGTTTCTAGATGAGGTTCTTGGGTCAGAGCCCAATGCAGTCCAAGTTGGTGAACTCCACGACCAAAGCTGCGCCATCATTGCAGCAAGCGATTGGCGGAGCATGAGCAAGATCGCAACATAGACGCTTTTGCCACGCTCGTCCAGGGGTTTTTCAGGCATTTGAGACCAGGTTGAGCAAAAGGGACAATTCACGATCTGAGTCAGACTCAGAACATTTTTCGATCTTTTTCGAGTTGCAATAGTTGATTTCGCTGCACAAGAGATTGCAGCTCCTGCATCTTCCAGAGTGAAGGAATTCTCAACTCGCCCTGAACCATCGGCCCTTGTTCACCTTTTTGGTGGGTCAGTCGGTGGGGGAATGTGGCGTTGAGGAGAACCATGAATTTGCTGAGCATTATTGAGCTGTTGGGGGGTCCCTGGTGCACAGACGCTAACACCCCTCAGCAACTGGAGACACCACGAATCTCCAGAAACGCTTAGGCTGAGAGAGGCTGGCGAGAAATCAAAGATGGACATCGGACATAGAGAATGGTAGATCTGGTGGAGACATACAAGCCCACAAAATTCACGTTGTGGATCTGACCCCAGCATAAATGAGGGGTGATGAAATCTCAATTTGCTGCTTCCTCGAAGCATTTGCTCAACTCACAGAAAACCCTCAAATCCTCAGTTCGCCCATCTTCTGTGGGAGCCTCAGTTGACGTCGATCGGAAGAGAGTTAGCATATGTTTTTAGATTCGGTGTTCCCCTGCAAAGGTAATTCCTTACTGGCGGAGCTCGATTCTCATACACAGTCTAAGCACCTTAAATATCCGATTTTGGAAGAGATGCTACAATGAGTTTCGAGACGGCAATCTAAGATCGCTACATTTACTAGGCCTCCACGGATGGCCAGTCACGAACTTCCCTCACACACTTGAACTGAAGAAGAATCATGAAGAGTCCAGATAGTCGAGATAGTGTTTTCGTAGGCCACTTTGACAAGGTCCTTCGTCTCCGAGGTCCTTTCTGTCCGTTTTTCCTGAAACGTCCCAGGTATCATGGCCTTCTTCAGCCAGATCGCTGATGCCTTCACACTGTGCTCCCAGCCGCCGGCCGAGCGCCCGGTCCGCACCACGGCAGATCCGCCCATGGCACCAGAGGATGCCTTGAAGCTCTTGAAGGACATGGGATGGTGGATGGATGTGGACATGGTGGTGATTTGGATTTCTTTGGGATGGTGGGTGGATGAGTTTAGATGCATTGTTGGATGGTTTTTGTGCCCTTGCTCTCAGCACTAACAGCCAAATCAATGGTGGACACATCGTCTTTCTGGTTGGTTTGAGTACCTTTGAGTCATTGGTTTAAGCATGTTTAAGCACTGTGCCGGAAACCTGTGAGGACGGCAACCGTCGCTTTGTGCGAGGCTGTCCCTGGGGTTCGGCGACCAAAGATGCAGCTCGTCAGCAGCTGGTGGATGAAGGCCAGGCACCCCACACTGCCATCATCGGCTGTGCAGATTCGAGGGCACCGCTCGAGACGATCTTTGATGCCATGCCAGGCCGGAGCAAAGAAGTTGTTCAAGTAAGAAAGCAGACACGCAATGGACTGACTGACATATTAGGATGCTGGGAGCATCTTTAATCTCAAATTTGAGGTAGGGAGTTCACAAACTGGAGCAACTGCCAAAGCGGATTGACTTTGCTTGTGTTTCGAACCAGTTCTGTCCAGGCGATATCTTCGTTCTGCGCAATGCAGGAAACACATGCACTCACGCCGAAGGCAGTATGGTGACTTTCCTGCACCTTTTGGAATTGCTTTCAACGGGTTCAACTTGTTGATGAAAAGGTGCAGCCGTGTGTTTGATCAAGGTTGGAAGCCTGGAGTTTGCCACCGGCAAGTTGGGAAGTCGTCTTATTCTGGTTCT